GTATGACACGAACATTTCTTGGTTGTAAGTTGATTGTTTTTTTTTGATAGACAAATATTTTGAAACCTCACATAATTTGTAAAAAAAGTCATTTACTAGCTTTACAGTAGAAGCTGAAGGAACCTCTAACTCTAAATGAGTTTAGAACGTGTGTGTTGTAGCCAGTCTTGTTAGGGACTGTAAACACAACACTGTTGATGTTTTTCAGTATAAAAAAAACCGAGATTGTTTAATACCATACCATACTCCAAGCCCATGGTGAAGACCTTTGCTCCATATTTGGGTGATTGGGGTCCCACTCGGTTATATGTCTCCATTTCTACGGTTTATGTAATATAATTCCACAGAACCTTCACTTATCACAAATGTACACTTAATTCCAGCGTTCTTTTTAGTTCCCACCCCTTGTAATATACATGATCCCTAACCAACACGAACACATATTGTACAGGACACATGGGTCTAACTGGGCCTTCTAGTCTAACATGCCGTTTTATAGTGTGTATACCCGCCATTACCGCTGTTCATCATGGTTTCACCACCTTTTTTCTATCTATAGATACAATGACAGTTTGAACTATTAATATTTAATGTCGAAATGACGAACCATTTGTGGAAGCGTTTTTCAATTGGATTTGTTGAACGAATCGTCACCCTATATGTGAAGTGCTCTATGACGGAGCGCGTGCACGGGCTAACCTCACACCATACCATTGATTTTTGGACCTGTCAGTAAAACAGCAACGCTGATGACAAACCAATCGTCTTCTTTATGGACGTAGCAATACTAACCCCATTTCTGAGGTATAAACCGGAGGATAGGAGTATCGATTTCTAGGTGTCGGATATGTGTGTTGGTAAAGTACATGGACTCCAATCCATAAAACAATGTAATACAATATCACTCCAAGTTTTCCAGTTTTGAGATTAATCGATTCGTTCATTCCTAAGATGTATTTACAACTTGTAATTTCAGACGTTAGAAAACCCTCTATGGAATAACAATCCTTGCCACGATCAGACTTTACAAGGAAATTGAAATACGATTGTTTATCGAGAAAGGATGTAAAACTACATAGTACATCAAATACGTTAATCATGACTACTCATGTTTAACTACGTTATTTAGTTGAATAATGCATTTTGACCAATTTTCTTTGTTTTATACATGAGTTACATCTTTGGAAAGGCTGTCTTTTAGAGCAGTAAGATCGAACTATAATAAGGCGTTGATAGTCGTAAAATGTAGCATGCAGATGGCACTGGAGGACTTCAAATGCACGAATAACTGCGAGTCAACAAAAACAAGAACACGGAAAACGTTGACTACAACCACTGTGGTGTGGGAAGTAAAGAATATAAATGTGTTTGTTCCATATCATCAGGAACAACTGAATCGGAAGACAAGATGTTGGTTTCCTAAATTTAAAGCAGTAGGTGACAAATATGACAAGTAGTACAGAAAGATAAGAAGAGGAAGAGATGGAAGTGACAAATTGACAACCAGGTTTCATGAACCGGACGAAACCTTCCTGAGAGGAAAATGACATGGGTTTCATTGTAGAGGATGGAGCTTTTCCAGGAATTACCCGTTATTCTGCATCAGTGACGACTGATGGAAGATCTATGCAGCAAACTATGACGAGGAAGGGGAATATTGTCAAACGTCTTGTCTAGGTACAAATAAGCTTTCTGATAGGGTTCATTGAAGGAACAAATAGAGGAATGACAACGTCTTATAGGTCACAGCAGACACCTTAAAGAGAAAAAAAGATTAAAACTAGTGAGAGAGCGGGACATTAAGGGAACAAAGTTATCAAACCAGGGAAGAGAGTCATGGGAAACATCTAAGTACCTGATCAATATAAGATAGGTCTCAAACAGGGATGTGAAAGTTGAACTGGACTTGTGTTTGAGCTTGTGGTTCCAGGATCCTTTGGAAACAACGCTGAGGTTAATATAGCACAACCAGTGAAATATATATATATATGGAAGTAATGTTTGCCGACAAGAAGTAAATATTTCGAAACGGTGACAGACTACAATCAAGAATGTCACAACAATATAAAATTCATTCTCCCGGTAAGAATCTTGCAGATTATTGAAATATTAAATTAGAGTCATCAAAAAAAGCAGAACGAATCTCATTGTAGAGATTGTAGTTTGGATGTCTCTCCAAGGTAATGCCTAGTAAACTGATATCGAGAGCTATTATTCCAGCCCTATCCAGAGTCAGCACACGTCTTCGATGGTCGCCCCTGCTGAATACTAATATAAGATTGTCCTATTATAACTAATCTTATTTTCGAACGAGCGATGGTACAAGATGACGTCTACGCCGGTATCGTATTGACACACTGACACACGCTATTTTCTCTTTCCCTTTGACACACTTGAGAGACAGCTAAGCCAGGACGAATAAATGATGGATGTGGTCTTTACAGAGACGTAGATTTCCCAAGGGGAGAGTCCTACATATGACAAAAACTTTTCGTATTCGTTGTATTTATTTCCGGACTCCTCGCCGACTATTGCTTACAAGACCAGTATATACTCAGAGACACTGGAACAATATAAATTAATAGACTTCTAGGGTAACACTACGTGCAAATTAAGCTAGCATTAAAACACTGTTTGTCAAGATGTTCATTTTGCTTTGTTGATGCCTCTCCATGTATGATTTGGATACACACTAAATACCATCAGAACGTGAACTTGCCATTGCCATAATATGATCAACTAACATTAATTAATGGCTATCTCCATTTCATCCTCAATGTGCATGTATCATATATAGAGGATCTGACTCGAGTGTTCATGTAATATTGAATTTATTGAACGAGTTTATTATTTTCATATGAAATCAATAAACGAGTTTGATAAATTCAATTTTACATGAACACGAGTGTTAGATTCTATTTATTATATAATTCGTCTCCTCTATATAAATTGTACCGATGGCTGACGAAAGGACACATTACATGCATTTTGTTTAGAGCTCGCTGCGCCACAAACAAAAATAGGTTCAGAAACTTATAATCATTTAAGTTTTCTTCATCAACCAATGTTTTAATAACTATCATAACAACATTAATAATATTTTTTTATACGACAACCATTCAACGAATTGGTGTTTACGAAAAAGCAGTGACGTCATATATTTGGCACAACGGCGCGTGCACTGTCAAGTTTAAGGTCATCACAATATACATACAGGGACTGCAGTGATTGTCACTCTCTGTAACACAAGCGCATTGTTTTTGGAGAGGGTTGTTTTTGAATGTGAACCTCGATGTTTCCGCCTGTCACTGAGCCAGAAAATATACTGTGGAATCCGCCATGAAACTGGAACACTGATGAAGTTGACCGGTTACACGTGTTCGCCATTGATTGTGTGTATTTCGGAGAAGTCCAAGTGGAAGTTGAACATGCAGGTGTTAAATTTGTGTGAAGCTGACACTCGTGTTTATATAATATTGAATTTATTAAATTCTTTTGTTAATTTTATCCTCCCAGTGCCCCTGCCTCTGCTATCATTGCAAACAGTAACTCGGTCAGACATTTTGTTTACAAACGTAGAAGTTGTAGTGCGTAGGAATATGACCTGTTTCTCACGGTGACAAGACTCATTTGCATGTTTATTGTACGTGTGCTATAACGTTTTTATTGAACGGCAATATTGCACGGAAATAGCCTGTATTATATAATAAATAGTGACATATCATGTAAACCCCAATGGATCAGTTATAATGATGTGTTTATAATGATGTTATGATATCTCATGTGTAATCTTAATGTATTTCTTGTAATGAAATCCTTTGCCAATGTATCACTTGGGATTATATTTCATGTAAACCTCATTTACACGTTTCAATTGTTTTGATTAAGTGAAGCTGTACAGCTTGTCGGTATCAAATATAGGTCTGTATATGTAACAATTTATCCGGCAATACCACCTTAACATTTAGTGACCTGCTCAGCTGGGAAATATTCCAAGATTTTTATTTGTATGTTATACTAGAAACCGTTATGACTATCAATGGTCTCCTCATATACCAGAATATTACAACACATACATTGTAGTACCAGACTTGTGTTATCGCAGAATAAACATGATTTCCACGGTAAAGCCAGTGTTTGCGAGGGCATAGCAATAACGGTCGCCTTGCTATAGCCGATTTTATCAAACGCTTGTACGGCGACAAATAGTTTGTGTAAGTGAATCCTTAAAATATTCATAGCACATCACATTACGGGATAATGGTGCAGGTCTGTGTTCTCCACTGGGTCGCCAGGCCTTAATATAGCGGCAGAACACAAATAACTCATCTCTACGAGGTTATGTATGGGGAAGAATCGATGCCGTCTGATGATATTTATTTACATAGCCGTTTAAAGCAAATTTGATATTAAATTATATCGGTTTTCTGCTTGCGTAGCCGTAAACGATCGAACAAGGATGTAAGGGAGGTAACTACGTATTCAAACATGTGCTTGATGGCGAATAGAGGTGCCAGTGTCAGTCTTTACGACTTAATCAATACTAAATGTCAATAGGCTTTTGTTGTTAAGTAAGATACACAGGAATGGCAGCAGTATCTAGGTTATAGAGGCTAGATGTATACCTAACACTTTAAATGTAATACGACACCAGCAATGTATTGATTCATGAGAAATATGCATTGTACTAGATTAAATCACGCTAAAGAGAAGCTCACTACCAATTTCCTATGCAAATCCTTGTTTACAAAAATATAACGAACGATTTGAAAATTGAATTAGCATTTTACCTTTTTTTACAATACATCAAGTTAAAATTAAGTTACTACAAACAAATATGTTTGAAAATATTAAAAATGATCATTTTTACATAAATATATAAAATATTGTACAAGCAACCTACATAATAGGATAAACTAAATATCTCGTTTAAATACAGCAGAATAGCCCCAGATGAACCATAAATAAATACATGGGGATCAGAAGATTAAGTATACAACCTCAAAGGAGGGGAGGATATCCATAATCCTGGACAGGTCCATCCTGTCGTCCTGGTCACCGAATCAGGTCCACATGTAACACAACCACCGAGGTGCCAGCTCTACACAGCACGGTTAAATACACAATTACGGCGGTTGTCCATCGAACGTTTCAGCGAAAATCACCAACCATCCATTACCTACTTCCTTCACATTAGGAGACATGCTTTAGGGAATTTCCAAGAAAGAACATGTGTTGTGCGATATGTTTCAATATCCGCGTAACCATGGGAACATAACAGCATTTTAAAACCGTAAAACACACATATTCTAACAATATCCAAAGGCTAGCTATGGTAGATTCACCGTAGGCTTGGTACAGAGACCAGTGTCTTCTATGACTTGTCACGCTTGGGGAGTAGTGTCAGCGCTCGCATGATTAAACATGGCTGGCGAATCAATAGAATTTTCATTAAAACAGTGCCAGAAAGCACAGCACCGAGGACAGGTGTACATTGCACCAATGGTGGGCTATACACGCACGCCACGGAAGCACACAGTTTCGATTGTTTTCAATTTACCCTGCGACTCCATCGCTCATTGTGGGAGCATTTTTTTGTCTTCTGATTGCTCTTTGTGTCTGCGATATATCCACGACAGGGATTGGGGAAAGGAACTCCCCTGACAATGGGAGATGATTTAGCGACAAAGATTCTCACGGCAGTTCCAAACTTCAATGGTATAAATAAGGTATATCGTATTCTGCTATGACCTAAAATTCCAACTGCTTACCATGGCAATTAAGGTATATGATTGACACTGTGAGCTCTGACGGTGACTAAAACAACACGTGCAGCATTAAACTCTAAACATTTTGTATAATGTGTATGCCATTGACACAGGGAGCACTGCTGCTGACAAAAACTTCTACATCAACAACAAATCTAGTACAGTATGGAACAGGTTACGCCTTTGACACTAGGAGCTCTGCTGGAGACGCCAAAAAGACTTGTTTAACATGTACGCCCTTGATACAAAGTCTTCGTTACACATGGAGTTCTGTCTGTAATCAAAAGTATCAACGGCAACATCAAACCCTAAATGGTTCGAATAGGTTAAAACAGTACATCCCTGGCACATGAATACCAGCTATGGCCGACTAATCAACCCAGAGTCGCCCCGAACACTGCGGTAGGACGATATCTTTTCAACAAAATGAATTGTACACGTATATAGTGCTCCCTAGTCGTGGGTAAAGCGTGCATGATTGCCTATGTAAATTGTATTCCTAGAAAACATATAACCAATGTCCATATACTTTATAGCTGGGTTTCAGTTGCATTGATATACGCCAATTATACAATGGAAATAATGTAATAGCATAATAGAACGTAATCAATACGACTCCCATTTCTCAATAAAACAGAACACAATAAACTCGCCATTACGTCAGTAAATTGATTCTAGAGAACAAAATGATCAGCCCAATCATATCCAACTAACCCTTTCATAAATATTCAAAACCAAACACATCTCAACACATCTCAACATACGTCTACTCCACGAAACTCGACTATACATTTATAACTCACACCACATCTCAACATACGTATACAGAATACCTATACACTCTACCATACATATACAACGCCCAACATATCTCAACATATGTATACAGCATACCGCTACACTCTACCATACATATACAACGCCTAACACATCCCAACATACGTATACAGCATACCGATACACTCTACCATACATATACAACGCACAACACATCTCAACATACGTATACAGCATACCGCTACACTCTACCGTACATATACCACGCACAACACATCTCAACATACGTATACAGCATACCGATACACTCTACCATACATATACAACGCCTAACACATCCCAACATACGTATACAGCATACCGCTACACTCTACCATACATATACAACGCCTAACACATCCCAACATACGTATACAGCATACCGATACACTCTACCATACATATACAACGCCTAACACATCCCAACATACGTATACAGCATACCGATACACTCTACCATACATATACAACGCCTAACACATCCCAACATACGTATACAGCATACCGATACACTCTACCATACATATACAACGCCTAACACATCCCAACATACGTATACAGCATACCGATACACTCTACCATACATATACAACGCCTAACACATCCCAACATACGTATACAGCATACCGATACACTCTACCATACATATACAACGCCTAACACATCCCAACATACGTATACAGCATACCGATACACTCTACCATACATATACAACGCCTAACACATCCCAACATACGTATACAGCATACCGATACACTCTACCATACATATACAACGCCTAACACATCCCAACATACGTATACAGCATACCGATACACTCTACCATACATATACAACGCCTAACACATCCCAACATACGTATACAGCATACCGATACACTCTACCATACATATACAACGCCTAACACATCCCAACATACGTATACAGCATACCGATACACTCTACCATACATATACAACGCCTAACACATCCCAACATACGTATACAGCATACCGATACACTCTACCATACATATACAACGCCTAACACATCCCAACATACGTATACAGCATACCGATACACTCTACCATACATATACAACGCCTAACACATCCCAACATACGTATACAGCATACCGATACACTCTACCATACATATACAACGCCTAACACATCCCAACATACGTATACAGCATACCGATACACTCTACCATACATATACAACGCCTAACACATCCCAACATACGTATACAGCATACCGATACACTCTACCATACATATACAACGCCTAACACATCCCAACATACGTATACAGCATACCGATACACTCTACCATACATATACAACGCCTAACACATCCCAACATACGTATACAGCATACCGATACACTCTACCATACATATACAACGCCTAACACATCCCAACATACGTATACAGCATACCGATACACTCTACCATACATATACAACGCCTAACACATCCCAACATACGTATACAGCATACCGATACACTCTACCATACATATACAACGCCTAACACATCCCAACATACGTATACAGCATACCGATACACTCTACCATACATATACAACGCCTAACACATCCCAACATACGTATACAGCATACCGATACACTCTACCGTACATATACCACGCACAACACATCCCAACATACGTATACAGCATACCGATACACTCTACCATACATATACAACGCCTAACACATCCCAACATACGTATACAGCATACCGATACACTCTACCATACATATACAACGCCTAACACATCCCAACATACGTATACAGCATACCGATACACTCTACCATACATATACAACGCCTAACACATCCCAACATACGTATACAGCATACCGATACACTCTACCATACATATACAACGCCTAACACATCCCAACATACGTATACAGCATACCGATACACTCTACCATACATATACAACGCCTAACACATCCCAACATACGTATACAGCATACCGATACACTCTACCATACATATACAACGCCTAACACATCCCAACATACGTATACAGCATACCGATACACTCTACCATACATATACAACGCCTAACACATCCCAACATACGTATACAGCATACCGATACACTCTACCATACATATACAACGCACAACACATCTCAACATATGTATACAGCATACCGATACACTCTACCATACATATACAACGCCCAACACATCTCAACATACGTATACAGCATACCGATACACTCTACCATACATATACAACGCACAACACATCTCAACATATGTATACAGCATACCGCTACACTCTACCATACATATACAACGCCCAACATATCTCAGCATACGTATACAGCATACCAACAAATCCTACCATGCATATACAACGCCAAATACATCTCAACATACGTATACAGCATACCAACAAACCCTACCATACATATACAACGCCCAACACATCCCAACATACATATACAGCATACCAACAAATCCTACCATGCATATACAACGCCCAACACATCTCAACATACGTATACAGCATACCAACAAACACTACCATACATATACAACGCCCAACACATCCCAACATACATCTACAGCATACCAACAAATCCTACCATGCATATACAACGCCCTACACATCTCAACATACATATACAGCATGCCAGCAAACTCTACCATACATATACAACGCCCAGCACATCTCAACATACATATACAGCATACCAGCAAACTCTACCATACATATACAACGCCCAACACATCACAACATACGTATAAAGCATACCAACAAACTCTACCATACATATACAACGCACAACACATCTCAACATACGTATACAGCATACCAACAAATCCTACCATGCATATACAACGCCCAACACATCTCAACATACGTATACAGCATACCGATACACTCCACCATACATATACAACGCACAACACATCTCAGCATACGTATACAGCATACCGACACACCCTTCCATACATATACAACGCACAACACAACTCAACATACGTATACAGCATACCAACAATCCCTACCATACATATACAACGCCCAACACATCACAACATACGTATAAAGCATACCAACAATCTCTACCATACATATACAACGCACAACACATCACAACATACGTATACAGCATACCGATACACTCTACCATACATATACAACGAACAACACATCTCAACATATATATACAGCATACCGATACACTCTACCATACATATACAACGCCCAACACATCACAACATACGTATAAAGCATACCAACAATCTCTACCATACATATACAACGCACAACACATCACAACATACGTATACAGCATACCGATACACTCTACCATACATATACAACGAACAACACATCTCAACATATATATACAGCATACCGATACACTCTACCATATATATACAACGCACAACACATCTCAACATAGGTATACAGCATACAGATACACTCTACCATACATATACAACGCAGAACACATCTCAGCATACGTATACAGCATACAAACACACCCTTCCATACATATACAACGCACAACACATCTCAACATACGTATATAGCATACCAACAAACTCTACCATACATATACAACGCCCAGCACATCTCAACATACGTATAAAGCATACCAGCAAACCCTACCATACATATACAACGCCCAACACATCTCAACATACGGATACAGCATACCGATACACTCTACCATACATATACAACGCACAACACATCTCAGCATACGTATACAGCATACCAACACACCCTTCCATACATATACAACGCACAACACATCTCAACATACGTATACAGCATACCAACAAATCATACCATACATATACAACAACAACTGAAACCTGCATACGTACATATATACAGCACACCTACCATACATATTTAACACATAACACTTTCCAACATACATATTTAGCATCCAACACACCCAACATACGTATTCAACACTACAAGAAACCTCTTGAACTTTATTCAATACTGTATCTATTATTTACTTTGACTGACTTTAAATGCCTCATGTGTTTTACGACGTTAACACTTCTCATATGTAAGCCTCCTGGTTATATGCCTATCCGTTTATGGTTATATCCCGATGGGGTAACATGCTATACATTTGTAAATGACTCTTATTAAACGTTTGAGGTCACGTCACTAAAGTCCGAACAAGTCAAAATGTTGTGAGTTCAGTTCAATTAGTTAATAGTTTATTTTGGAGTACTACAAAAAGGCTATTTGGTTCGATTGTAATCGACTTTGTGTTGAAAAGCTAATTACTCTCCATTTGTTTATTATGTTACCACATTGTAGATGGATACCGTTCATAGAAAAGCAACAAGTCAAATGGCTGTAATAGTCAAGTTGCAATGTTCCGTAGTTTAGGATTGTAAATGATAGAATGTGTTAACTAACATATTCATTACCGTTTCTGAGTAACCGACATCTGTACCGTTCAATGCTTGACATGGAAACTGTTCAACAGGGACCATTCGTTGCAGAAACAGATATATGAGACAGACATCTATTTTTACAGTGGGTAGA